CGGTCACTTCCCACCCTTAATCCTATCTAGAGTCCGTTCTCCCTTGGCCACGTGGTCCAAGTCCCAGGCAATCTGTTTACTACAGTTTACTGGCCACTCCCATCCAGAGCCTTCTTAGACCCCTCCTCCAGTTACCCCAGACAACTTGGCCACTCCTAGGTCCATCTTTCATCTTGTCTCCATTAAGGTGCTCAGATTCTTATAATCTAGCCAATAGCTCACAAATGTTCAGATTCCTTAAGAGTCTGGCCAATATGGCGGAGCTTTAATAAACTTTGTTTTTGGCTGAAAAAACCAAAACCAAAACCAAAAATCAATTTGATATAGGTTATGTATGTGCAATTATTGAGGCTTAGGGGTGCTGGAGCCCCAAAATCACAACACATGGGTCCTGCCTGAAAAAATTCCCACCCTAGCCTTCTTTCAGCCAAAGACAAGGTTTATTAGAACACCTGTCATATTGGGCAGACTCTTAAGGAGTTAGTGAGCTATTGGCTAGATTGTAAGAATCTGAGCACCTTAATGGAGACAAGATGGACCTTATATACAGAAAGACTGTGGGAGAAATCGAGGAGTGACCAAGTAGTTTGGGGTAGTGGGGACTGTGAGGTAATAGAATGCCAGGGACCTACCTGGACCACGTGGCCAAGGGAGAACGGAGCCGAGCTAGGATGAAGGGTGGGAAGTTGGCTGGGGGCTATAGGGAGGTAAGACAATGGAGGGCCAGGCTAGGTTAAGGGTAACAGAGACTGGGCATAGCTGCAATGAAAGGCCAGTTGATGGGATTATAGCCTCAGGGGAACACCAGAAATTTGGCCATGTGGGAAAGTCCAGGGTTTTTCCTTTTTGGGGTCTAGATCCCATCCTCATCATAATTATGTAAAACATATTTCCATATTAGTCGTGTGAAAGTAAAAACAGACCAAAAGAAAAAAAAACACAAAAAAATAAAGAGAGTGAAAATAATATGTTTTGATCTACATTCAGAGACCATCAGTTCTTTCTCTGGACATGGATAATGTTTTCCATCATGAGTCCTCTGTCATTGTCTTGGATCATTGTATTACTGAGAAGAGCTAAGTCATTCATAGTTGATCACACAACNTTCAGAGACCATCAGTTCTTTCTCTGGACATGGATAATGTTTTCCATCATGAGTCCTCTGTAATTGTCTTGGATCATTGTATTACTGAGAAGAGCTAAGTCATTCATAGTTGATCACACAAT